TAGTACAGCCCTGTTCCCCTGTTTACCTGTTTAAATGTCACCTGTTTACCTGTTCACCTGACAGAATGCTCGGGAGTCACCTGCGACTGCATGGGAAGCGGCGGATCCACCCCTGCAACATCTGTGGGAAGGAGTTCAACCACAGCTCAAGCCTGTCGCGTCATCGCCTCATCCACAAGAAGGGGAAGGGCCTCCCGAAGGACGCTGCCCTCAGCACCAATATGGCCGCCATGCGTCACTCACTGAAGGCCGGCAGCAAGAACAAGAAGACCAAGAGGCAGCAGCAGCAGCAGCAGCAGCAGCATGTGGTGGCGGCCGCCATCATCCAGAACCCGGGCGGGGATAAGTTCTATGCCTGCCCGCAGTGCGACATGAGCTTCAGGACGTCCACGCAGCTGTCGAAGCACCAGGTGACCCACGTCAAGGAGCTGCTGGACAACTACACACCTGGGAAGGAGAACCTGGGCGAGACCTCGTCCGACCTCAAGATCCGCCTCAAGCTCTGCTCCCGCGACAAGCCCAACTTCTACACCCTCTGCAAGAAGAACCGGCGCCGACAGGGCGGCCGGGCTGGCAAACGTGGCTCCGCCCCCTCTGAAGAGGAGGTTGGATCAGGTGGGGGTGGTCGCCATGGCTGTGGCCAGTGCGGGAAGCGCTTTAGCCATGCTTCCAGCCTGGCACGGCACCAGCAGACCCACCGGGCTGGTGATGGCGGCGGGAGGAGCAAGCTGCAGCAGCACCAGAAGACCGGACTTGGCGCTGCCAAGACGAAGACGTACACCTGCGCAGCATGCAACAAGACCTTCATGCACTCGTCCAGCTTCTCTCGCCACAAGAAGGCGCACCTGGAGGAGGAGCAGCGGGCCCGGGCCGCCGCCAAACGCCGCAAGAGACCTGTCTTAGATGAGACCGCCCCGCTGGAGTCCGACTCTGAGTGATGGCGCCACTCTCTGGACTGGGTTTGGACCGGTTCTGGTTCTGAACCAGCACTGACTGGTTCTGGACTGGTTTGGGACCAGTTCTGGAAAGTTCTACTTTGGAAATGTTCTGGACCAGTTGGGACCGGTTCTGGTGGTCCAGGTTCCAGACTGGACCTGGTTGGTACTGTGGTGTAGATAGCAGCAGGACTTCCTTATATGGTCGTATGGGTGGGCGTGTCCACGTACATCGCATCCATATATGGTCAGAAGTGACCACAGCTCATCGCTCTTACGAATGGGATTAGATTTGCAGCCCCGCCCCCTCACTCCATTACCCATCAGCCCCCTGAACACAGAGACCGTCCGCTGCAGAACATCATGGGAAACTGAGTCCTGCAGCTTTAGACACATCCGCTCTCTGATTGGAGGGTTCCACTTTGTTAGCGACAAAAATCACACAAAAAACAAAAGACCAATCAATCGATTGATCAGCCACATGAATCCGCATCTGTTTTGATAACTGATTCGTTGATTGAATCATTTATTGAAGCAGAGAAGAGAAGTCGTTTAATCGAGAAAATATTCAGATTCAGTTGGTGATCATCGTCTACTGGAACCAATATCCAATAATCGCTTTAATTATTGATTAGCAGGCGTCATGTTACTCAGTTGATCAATTGATTATCATCGATTCTGCTGATTCTCTTCAGTTTGTTTCAGCTGCAAAAACTAAATGATCACTTGGATCGATCACGATGTGTTTTTGTCGTCAGTTAGCTGGACCGGTCCGATCCGGTTCTTCGTGGCGCCGCCTCCTTCGCTGGTCTTTGTTTTCTTTCTCTCCTCCTTTTCCTGTCAGAAGTCGCCACCCACTTCCTCCCTGAGTGATTCTGATTGGCCAAAGCTCTTATTGGCACAGTGTTCTGATTGGTCGAACGCATACAGACTGTACCTGCAGCTGGTCGGCCATGTTTGTAGTTTTATTACAGGTTCAAAGTGCACTACTTATTTATGAATTGGAGCGATGTTGTAATATATAAATATTATTGATATTTAATGTCACAATTTAAAAAAGAAAAACAGGAGCGTGTTACCATAGCAACAACACCGCCACCTTCATCCGCCAGCGTCCCCATCGACGCTTTGAATCTGTCAAACTGTGATCTGATGAAAAGATAAAACTGTTTATTGGTCGAAACGAAAAGATGTTGAAACCCTTTGAACAAGAGAAGCAGAGATTTGTGGGTAAACTGACAGGAAGTGATGTCAGTGTGACGCATCAGAGAAAAGTTTCCAACCTGAAGACGAAACATTTCTGATTTGTGTTTTGGGTTAAATTGGATCGAAGTGTCGCTGATCATTGCGTCTGACTGGTTCTCTGAGGAGATGAACGGTAAAATAGAGTTCAGCTTCTTTACAACTGAGTCTGTCGATGGAAACGAGGCGTTTGTTTGTCGCTAAATTATTTCAAGTCTTGGACCAAAAGTTTCCTGCAGCTCGCACCAAAATACAGCCTGTTCACCTGTGGACGGCCTGAAGCCCCGCCCCCTCGCTCTGTCTGTGAGTTTTACTGTGAGTTGGTTCATTTGATGGTGGAAAGTTTCTCCCCCTGCTCTCACCTCCTGGTTTGGTTCTGCTCGGTTCTGCCCAGGTTGGATCCATATTGTGTTGGTTTGTTTCGATTCCAGCGAAGCTTCACCTGCAGATAGAAGGTTGTTCTCATTGTATCGTGTTCTAGAATAAACCCAGTCGACATGTTTTGTCTTGTTTTGTAATAAACCTTTGAAAGAAGTCTCCTCTGGGTTCAAAACCCTTCTGTGTGTGCGCCTGTTCGTGTCTCTGTTTTCAGTTTGTGTTTTCTGATTCGTTTGTCAATGTTTTTTTCAGATTTATATAAAAATGTTTGTTGGGAGTCTTTAAACAAACTACTGACAGTAACTGAGTATTTCTACTCTGCTGTTGGTAACTGAGTACATTTACATTCATTCTTGCTGAATCTGATTCGTGTCCCTTTAGTTCTACCTTCAGACTGTGAATGTTCCAGAGGTCCAGGTCCTTCAAGTCCACAGAGGAGGGTCCAGATTGATCACTTTAATGGACTTTTTCCATCATTTCTGAGCCTCAGAACTTCATCAGTACAGCAGATAGACACATGACATTTAGGAGGAAGAACACATCTGGGTTCTGGTAGAACCTGACACCAGATCAGTTCTCCATCCATCCAGGTGTCTCAGTCTGAACACTGGACCTGGTTCTGTTCATGTCCTCTGTCAGCAGCTGGTAGCATCAGTATTATGGGATGGATCATAGTGGTACCAGTCTAATGTCTATGACACAGAGTCATAGAAACAATCAGTGGTACCCTGAATGTGGTTCTGGTTCTGATCAGTCACCAGAGGAAACTTTACAAAGTGCATTCTGGGTAAACGTTCCAGGCTCATGTCAGCATGTGTGATGGTGGTTGGTCAGAACCAGTTCTAGACAATGGAAGGACCGTTTTACCTCCAGAACCAGAACCATCTGTAGACAGGATCCACTCTGAGGAGAATCATTTACTAACATTTTCTTATTTGGTTGATTAATCAGAAGCTACCTTTTGATATTTTATGAAGCTACCACAGTAGGAAGTCTTTGTCTCCACAGGCTGATCCAGCTCCGCCTGTTCACGTGATGCTTCAAACCCTGAACTTTCCCTTTTAGTTTCCCCTGAACAGCTTTAAGGACGTTCCAGCCACTGGCCCGCTGCTCAGTGTGTCATGAATTGATTCAGAAATGTTGGAAAGCTTCTGCAGATCTGTGTGTGCAGCTGCTCTGTTAAATCCTGAAAAATGCTCAGATTAATTTTTGTAAGTCACATTTAATCACCGGAAGAAAGGAAGAAATCCTGTAAGGCTGTAGTTTCAGAGGCTGCAGCTCAGTGTTCAGACACCAGGGGGAGACAAAACCCGAGCAGCAGCCGACTGGTGGGTCCGTGATCAGCGGCTGCCTCTGAGCCCAGTCAGAACCGGTGTCATCGGGAGGTTCTGATGTTCTCAGCAGAGGATGTAAACAGTGTAGTGACACAGGAGGAGGCAGAAGTCTTCAGTCTCTTCTTCTGTTGTGTGCTATGCGTGTTCACGGTGCTGTTTAGTTGTAATCTCGCGGTATTTCCGGCCTCCACGTCAGCTGAGTGTGAGACATAAGCGGAAGTGGGCGGGGCCAGATGTGTAATGTCGGCCGCAGAAACAAAACATCACATTTAATCGGTTCCGGTAGAAGCTGAAGTCGGTCCGAGGACCGAAACACACCGAACAGAAGCACTCACACACACCGGCACACAGGCGCTCCGACAACGGGTCACTGCCGCTGCTGCCGCCGGGAAGATGTCCGCGGGCTCCGGGAGCAGAAACACGAACACGGAACCGTGGGGAAGCTTCGATGACAACCTGATCCAGGTGAGCTAACCTGTCAACCGGCTACCGAACCGGGCGGTGCTGCTCCCCGTTCACCAGACAGGTAGTCACGGAACAGGAGAAACGTTCTACAGTCAGAACACACAAAGAGCCGATAGAACAGCAGCTAGCATGCTAACTGTGCTAACGAGCTGCTAACAGGCTAACAGAGCTCTACCAGAACACAGGTACTGAAATATGCTCTCCAGCTTGATGACCCACATCTGGATGGTTTATAATGGAACCCTAATGGAACTTTGAAGTCAACACCTGGCAGCTGAAAGCTTCTCCTTTTTCTGGTTAAACTTGACATTTTTCTAGGAAACAACCAAAATAAAAGAGTTCTGTTGCTGCAGAAATCACCTGCTCTGAAGGTTTTGGACTGTTCAGGTGTTTTAACGTTTAGAACTTCTGCATAAAAACCGTTTAACAGAAAAACAACTTGGCAACTAAAATAAAACAAGACAATCTGTCAGTCTGAATCGGTACAAGTCCAGGATCAGTAAAACCCAACAGCAGCTGTAGAGCCGAAGAGCTTCCTGGTTCCACTGATGAGTTCCAACGTGGAAGTTGACACCATTAATACACTAATTGATTAATCAGTTACCGAAACAATCTGCACACGTGTTAATTTATTCAGAAGAGACAGAAAATCACATTTTTTTCAGTTTACAGAAAAGAAAATGTTGGAAAAGCTGCAGCTCAGTAATCAATAATCTGTCGATCGACTTCGAAGTCAGATCAATAATCAGCTGCTGAGTTTCTTTCTTCATCCTTGTCCATGTTTCTGTGGTGCATTCAGGGCAGCTCGGCCGTCATCGACATGGAGAACATGGACGACACGTCGGGTTCGAGCTTCGAGGACATGGGCGAGATGCACCAGAGGATGAAGGAGGAGGAGGAGGTGACCGCCGAGGCCGCCGCCACCGAGGACGACGCCGCCGACGACGGAGAGTTTCTGGGCATGAAGGGGTTAAAGGGCCAGCTGGGCCGACAGGTGGCCGACGAGGTAAGAACCAGAACCAGAACCCATCTGTGTCCCCAGAAGCAACCTGCCCAGGTGTGACCAGGAGAGGCGGAGTCATTTCCTGTCCGGCCGAGGGATCGAATTTCATCAGCATTTATCTGATATAATAATGTATCAGAATACATTCAGAATCCTAAATATTCTGATCAAAGCCTAAATGAATAAACAAATTACAGATCAATAATCACAGCTGTAAATGCTTCAACGGTTCCTGATCGTCACTGACCCATGTGTTCAGGTGTGGCAGGCGGGGAAGCGTCAGGCGTCCAGAGCCTTCAACCTGTACGCCAACATCGACATCCTGCGTCCGTACTTTGATGTGGAGCCGGTTCAGGTGCGCAGCAGGTAGGACGTGCGCTTCCTGTTTCCTGTCAGCTGCTACTGCTTCCTGTTGGTAATGGCTGCGTTTCCTGCAGGTTGATGGAGTCCATGATACCCGTCCGGATGATCACCTTCCCCCAGGTACGTTCCTGTGTCCGCCGACTCACCTGCAGGCATAGAGACAGTTTCCAGCTTCAAAATAACATCAAGGTAAAGCTTTTCAAAATAAAATGTACTAAATGAAAGTTTTCACCTGTGTAGAAGATCGCAGGTGAGCTGTACGGTCCCCTGATGCTCGTCTTCACTCTGGTGGCGATTCTGCTGCACGGCATGAAAACATCAGGAACTGTCATCGTAAGAACCCACAGAACCAGAACCTTTTATGAGCGTGACTGTAAACAGGTGAGGGTCATGTGATCCTCTGTGTTGCAGAGGGAGGGGACTCTGATGGGAACCGCCATCGGAACGTGTTTTGGGTACTGGCTCGGCGTGTCGTCCTTCATCTACTTCCTGGCGTACCTGGTGAACGCTCAGATCACGATGCTGCAGATGCTGTCCCTGCTGGTGAGTGACGGTGCCGCTCCTCCACTCGCTGCTTCATAGCACAGTGACATCACTTCCTGTCTCCTGTTGCCAGGGTTACGGCCTTTTCGGTCACTGCGTTGTCCTCCTCGTCACCTACAACATCCACTTCCACTTCCTGTTCTACGTGCTGTGGCTGCTGATTGGAGGACTGTCCACACTGCGCATGGTGAGGACCGCGTTTCCCATCAGCCCCGGCTCAGATCTGTTCCAGTTAATCCAGGCTTATTTCATCACTTGTTCTGATTCACTGTCAGGCTTCAGCAGATTAACCAGGTCTGTCCTAACCCAGACCAGTCAGGTTAACGGTGACTCACCTGTTCCACAGGTAGCCGCCCTCCTGTCTCGGACCGTCGGTCAAACTCCTCGTCTGCTGCTCTGTGGAACGCTGTCTCTGCTCCACATGACCTTCCTGCTCTACCTGCACTTCAACTACCACAAGATCGTCGAAGGTCAGGACCAGAGAACAGACCAGACATACAGGATAGACCAGAACCAGAGAACAGACTAGAACCAGAGAACAGACTAGAACCAGACAGCCATGTGAGAACATGTAAACCAGAACCTGTTCTTTGCGCTTTCAGGGCTGCTGGACTCTCTTGAAGGACCCAACATGGTTCCGATGCAGCGGGTCGCCCGAGATGTTCCTGAGCTGACGCTGAACGCCACACTGAGGAACCAGGAAGTTCTGCAGGTCCACTGAGACCCAACATGTTCTCTGTTTTTGTCAGTTCTCCTGGTCTTAATCTGAGACCTTGAGTTGAGACATTTGGTTTTCTGTTAACGTTACTCTGAACTGTGTTTGGTGGTTATTTTATTGATCCTGTTTATTCCTGATTGATTGATTGATTGATTGATTGATTGATTGTGTACAGACTAATAAACCTTCTCTGAGACTCTTCTCCTTCCTGCTGTGTTGAGCCTGACAGCTCCTGTCTGATCAATGATCTATCAGCTCAATAGAAACATTTTCAGATAACACCGTAGTGACTTTCACCCTGAGTGTTGTCTGACAGGTAACTTCCTGCCTCTGCCAATCACAGCGCTGACATGTGAGGTTTATCTTAGCCAATGGCAGCAGAGATGACAGGTGACCCTAAGTAATTACAATCATGCCGTGATGTAATGACGCAGAACCTGAGAACAGTCACCTGTCAGACTGCGTTCAGGGCAGAACCGCTTCCTACGTAAGCACGACGTCACTGAAGACAGCGCGGGAAACTGCAGCTGCGGGAGGCAGAACCTGTAGAACAACAGAACCCGTGGAACCTCAGCAGCTCGGTGGGTTTCAGGATGATCATTTATTTCTGCGGCAGCATCCGCGGAGGGAGAGATGACGTCGATGTTTACCGGAGGATCGTCATCAAACTGAAGCAACACGGAACCGTTCTGACGGAGCACGTGAGCAGCACCGAACTCACCGAGAGAGGTAACACACACACACACACACACACACACACACACACACACACACACACAGAGGTGAGGCCTGTCTTTCTGATGTGGGAGGAAGTGAGCCCCGTGGATCTGTCGGTGGGGAGCTGCGGAGGGTTCGGTGACTGATTTTGGACCGGTTCTGAAGATTTCTGGATTTGTTACAGTTCAGTTTTAGAAAGTTTTCTTGCAGCCAGGACTTCATGTCTGTGACGCAGTTGGTGACAGCGGTGATGGTTTTGAGGGAGATGTAGAGACCATGTCATCAGAACAGCAGCGGAACCGGAGTCCACGGTGGTGGTTCCGGTGGCCAAGGGGGAGGGCTGCTGCTGTTTTCAACCTGATTGGCTGCTGGCATTTAACAGAAGAACACAACAAAAACAACAACCTTGAGACTGGACTGGCCCATCTGACACACACACACACACACACACACACACACAGGTACATAGCACGTACAGACTCACGTAAAAGTCAGACAGGTGAGTAGTTAGAAATAAATAAATAGAAACACCAAACCAGTCCAGCAGTCCCAGCTCAGACCACGGGGCTGTTGTTGCAGTAAAGCTGTAAATGTGTCGTGAGTAAAAAAAAAACAAAAACATTTGGTGATCTGTAGAAATATGAAGATAGATGAAAACTCCACAGTGCCGGAAATACAGACACGTCACCAGGAACTGGTCCCGCAGGCCTCGCCATTGGCTGTCTGTTCACACGTGACTTCTGCTGCCCCATCAGTGACTTGAGGGTGTGTGTGCCCTCAGCTCAGGCTCACAGGCTCGTTCATTCTGGCTGCTCTGTTCCTCTGCAAGCCTTCATGACAGCTTTTGTTCTGCGACCCACAAACTCAGCAAATAGAACTTGTTCACGTTTAACAGACAGTGTCTCGTGCCCTCAGAGACTCTGGGGGATAGCGCCGCCTGCAGGCGGTACAGAGCAGCCGAACCCTCATGGTGAGGCCTGCTGGACCTGTAACTGGTGATGCGTCTGTATTTCCAGCCAAATACTCGGGCTGGTAACAGTCTTGTCTAACAGTAAATCAGAGGCTCCAGTTAGATCCTCTCTGAAAATCTTCTCCAGCTCTTCTTTGATGTTTTCCCAGAATGGCTGTATATTTGGGCAATCCCAGAATATGTGTGTGTGGTCACCCACCATGCCACGGGCGCTCCAACACTTGTTACCGGAGTTTTTTAAATATGGAGGTTCCTCATGGCGTCCTAAAGAACCCAGTTTTCAGCTGCAGTTGAACCTCTTTCTGAAGCTCTGTGGCGCGCTGAGCACAGGATCCCAGGTTTCATCATCCACTGCTGCACCTCGCTCCACCTCCCGTCACTGTTTCATGTGCAGCGTGTTATCAGACATATCTGCTGTTCAGGTTTTGTATTTATGGGATGTTTGTTTTTGGGGCAGAGCAGGTTGGTCAGATACATGCATTTCTATATGTGTGGGTTCTTTCTTCATGGATTTGTAAGCGTCTATGAATCAGTGGGTGGGGATGAGAACTCCTCCTGGAGGTGTGACATTAGCCTTGAGGGGGGAGGGGGAGCAGACGGAGAGGAGATTAGGTCATCGTAGATGGAGTCTCTTTTGGTTTCAAGGAATGACAGGAAGGAGGTGCATTTGTTGACTGTAAGAAGGAAACTGTTGTCCAGGTGCTGGAGGAGTTGTGGGGTCACCAGAGCCGGCCTGGGTTAGACGACGGGCTGCAGGTGGTCCTGTAGAGCTGTGAATGAACGCTCTGTGGCTGACTGTAGAGAGCTGCTGGAGACCTGCTCACCACCTGTTTACCTGTGGATGGTCCTGATCAATGCAGCTGGTTATTGATCACTGACAGGATGCTGCTGGAGACCTGTTCACCACGTGTTCAATTATTTATTGTACTGATCGATGCGGCTGATTATTGATAATGCAACCAATAAATAATCAATGTTCTAATGAGCGATCTGTCATCTGCAGTACCAGCAGAGTAAACGGGCCAATCATAAAAGCAGATTCATGTGAATACATGTAGGTTGCCGTGGCAACATGCTGCATCCAGTGTGTGATACCTGCTTGTGTGATGTCACTGACCTGCTGTGCTGTGATTGGACAGGAGAGGACGCATCAGCGGCAGGAGATCGATTCATCCATGACCGAGACGTTGACTGGCTGCGACAGTCTGACGGTGAGAGCTGATCGATTGGTTTATTGATTATTGGCCAGAGTGTAGAAAGTAATTCTGCCCTGAGCTCCGTCTGCAGGCAGCCTGTGACCCCTGTGACCTCTGACCTCTGTGTGTCGCAGTGATTGTTGCCGAGGTAACGCAGCCATCTCTGGGCGTCGGCTACGAGCTCGGACGGGGCGTTGACATGAAGAAGAAAATCTTCTGTTTGTTCAGACCGTCGTCAGGACGCTGTGAGCACTTCCTGTTTCCTGTTTTTATAACTTGTTCTGAACAGGAAGAATACACCTGTAGGGACAGGTAAACAGCTGGTTAGCATCTTGTTAGCAGCAGGTAAACAGCTGGTTAGCATCTTGTTAGCAGCAGGTAAACAGCAGCAGGTAAACAGCTGGTTAACATCTTGTTAGCAGCAGGGAAACAGCAGCAGGTAAACAGCTGGTTAGCAGCTGGTTAACAGTCATCTTTTCTGCTTTCATTGGCACATTTTCTCTCCGTATGAACGTTCCGTGTGGTAGAACATGAAACTGTTACTCAGACTCTGATTGGAACAGTATTGATTTGATTGGTTGTTAATCAGACTCAATGATCTTCTGTGCAGCTCTGTCAGCGATGATCCGAGGAGCTGCTGACGGAGAGCAGTTCATGGTGAAAGATTACAGCGAGGACGAGGTGGAGAATATTCTGGATGAGTTCTTCAGAACTCTGAAGAGAACCTGAAGAACAGAACATGGAACAGATGAAGTTTGATGCTTCATGAATAAAGTTTGAGTCAAATCTGTGTCTCAAAAGCTTTTATTCTGCAAAGCCTGTAAAACAGCTGATGATCCTCAGTGGGCTCCATGCTCCACCCAAACAGTCTGATGTCTGAATTCAGGTGATTCCATTTGATGTTTACTTTGAATGTTGTTTCACCATCTCTGATGAAGACCATGAGAACAGCTCTCAGAACAAATTAAAAACCTTTTTAATAACTTCTGAATGTATAGATGAATGTCCTCGATATAAATTCTGGAGAGAAATAATGCAGAAATATTTTACATGATGTACAAATAAAAACCTAATTTACAGACAATCTGATCCACAAAGTCTGAACTCATCAAAACCACGTTTACACAGAAAAAAAACAGCTCGACTAAATGTCAGAGCTTCACTTTGTGCTGTGATTAACATTTTAAATGGATTTAATTTTTTGAAGAAAAATGACTGAAGCCTGGCTGCAGTTCCTCTGGTGTCCAGCAGGGAGCAGTAGAGTTCAGCGAGTAACGCTTCAACAGGGGAACAGAGACCGTGAGTCAGTCAATGATCAGAAGGTTGGCGGTTCGATTCCGCCCTGTAACCTGTGTCATGGTCGTCGTGTCCTTGGGCCTTCACCACCTGCCTGGTGTGGATGCGTATGAATGGGGTGGTGGTCGGTGGTGGTCGGAGGGCAGAATGGCAGCCAGGCCTCTGTCAGTCTGCCCCGGGGCAGCTGTGGCTACATCCGTAGCTACCACCACCGGATGGATGTGTGTGAATGAATAACTGACAGAATGAAGCGACTTTGAGTGTCTAGAAAAGCGCTGTATAAATTATTATTATTATTTAGTTGGAGTGCCCCATAACTGCCCCGGCTGAGCGGGCGACCCATGAACAGGGCTGTAGTTCCCCAACGCAGCAGCCGTGGGTTTGACTCCCGCTCACAACCCTTTGCTGCAGGTCTCTCCCCGTTCTCCAACCTTTCCTGTCTGTCTCTACTGCAAAAAGGCACGTCCACCGGTGGGGCTTGTGCTGACAGCCCAGCACCGTGCAGGGCGACTGG